TTACACTTATTGTTGTCTAACATATCATCTGCGTTGGCTTTGTTGCTCCAGACAATATGTGCTCCTACTTTGGTGTCTACGGCAATGTCGTTCGCCATAATAACTTTATGTGCCGTCATGCATGTGTGTGTGGGTGAGGAGTCGTGTGCATGTTTTGCTGATATTCCAAAAGTTCATGCCACATTCTGCCATACTTCATGCTGCCTGTTGTTATTCCTTTCCGTTATCCTTCCTTTTAGTATAATTATGTTGCTTTTGCTTTGCTTTTTACGCTTATTGTTGTTGTTGCAGCTGTTTTGCGAACCGCAAACAAAGTCAAAGGTGAACATTGTGCCCCTTTCCTTCCCGTTTAATTGCATGGCTGTTCGGCCCTGCTCTGTATGGCAAGTGCTGTTAGTTGGTATTTGCATATGTTTGGCTTGTTGGCTCCCCCCTAATGTCGCCCTTCCACGCAACTCTCTAATTATGCTCAATGTTAGCCTCTGGGGTAATTATTTTAAAGCTGCCATAATTTTCCGTGCTTGAAAAGGCCGATGGCATTTTCTCTCATACAGATGTTTATAGTGTGTGCAATTAAGTAAATGATGACGATGAAGTTACTTCTTGTTTTGTTGCATATTTTTAGGGTTTGCGGAAGTAGTACTGTTAAAGTCCTACACCTACTCTTACGAAAATTTATGCCAATGTCATTTAAAAGTGATATCTTTGTTAAAATAGGTCTCAAGTCTTCATTCTTCTGTTTTTATGAGCGAAATAAATTTTTTAAGGAGATTTTTTGACAAAATGCGGAGGATTAAGCAGTCTTTCAGGCATATAAAAGAAAAAGTAGGATGGATCGGAGCAAACAAATTTGATTGAGTTCCATGACATGCCAAGCCTCGTTCTGATCGATGTTSTATTTTCCACGATCATTGGCTTTAAAGAGTTTGAAGTTTTGGCTAAACGCGAACGAAAGCACGAGCCGATTTATTTCAAACAAAATAAAGTTTAACAACTAAAATATTTACTTAAATTATATTAACTGTGACACAAATTGGGAACTTTGACGGTAAAAATATTTCAGCAGTTCTGACCTTACTCAAAATATTGAAATTTAGGTATATTTTTGAAATCTAGTACGAGATCAACATTTATCGACAACGCAGTTTGAGTTCTCGAGCTATCGAACTATGGCCAGGATACCACCACCATTAAATGGCTAGTGGCGGGAATCGGTAGGAGTCCCACTTTTTCAAAAATGTTTGCCCGTATATGTCCCTACCTACTACGATCCCCTGTACCAAATTTCAGTTTTACAAGGAACTTTCCAAAGGAAACAGAATTTGTTGAATCCATCGSCTCTTGTGGCGCCATCTATATGTCGACTAGTGGGTTAGAACCTACTGTCTTTATCGATTGTCCAGTGAGAACTCCATGACATTTCATTGAATGGAAGTGAAGTTATTGCATTTTAARTGTCAATATGTTTGTGTTATCGGCGTGAAAATGAGCACTAGTGGTTTCAACATTTTCAAATTGACTGACGACCAAAAATTGCTCAGAATCCAACATTCCAAAGACGATTGTTTGAGCAAAAATCACATTTTAACTRTTAACCACTCCCCGTACTCATCTGATATGGCACCGTGMGACTTCTTCCTTTTCGGAAGAATTCATTTTCTCATGAAAGGAAAGCGTTATGCAGAAGTAGAGGCCGTACAAAAGGCTTGCACCGGCACACTGGCGGCCATACCGGCCAACAAGCTCAAAAACTCGTTCGACATGCCTTTGGACCGTGCAAAATCTGTACTTTTTTCAGTCTTGTTTACTTTGAAACGCACCTTGTATATCTTAATTTACTGCTTAGTTTGGCGCTTTGGTTTTCGGTTAATAGCAATTTGTGGGCGTGGCAAAGATCTGATTACGCCCATCTTCAAACTCGAATTTTTTTWTACTATGAAACCTGTGTACCAAGTTGCATCAAGATCTCTCAATTTTTACTCAAGTAACAGCTTGCACGGACGGACGTACGGACAGACCGACAGACAGGCAATCGGATTTGAAATTTTCTACTCACCCTCATACACATATCGTTTAGTTTTAGGTGACAGGTACAACCGTTAGGTGAACAAAACTATAATACTCTGTAGCAACTGGTATAAAAAGTGCTCTACTTCTCTTAAGAGTGGCGAATCGAACGCAGCTGAATAAAAACAATTCACTTGTGTAATGAAACACAGAGAGAATAGCGTACGATTATGCCATTTTAATGAAGTAAAGAGATTCAAAAGTTGCCATTTCATCCATAAAAAACAACGGTTTCGTGTGGTTTATGGGCCGGATCATCAGCCCATAGTTCTTCAAACAGGATACCGATGAAAATGTAACCGTCACTGACGGCCGGTATCGCGCCATGATAACCAACTATGTGATGTCTGAATTTGAAGCTCCTGGACTCGGCGACATTTGCTTTCAACAAGACTGGTACACTCTTTATAAGTATAATTTTAGGAGAGGGTAGAACAAGGGTAAAATCGATAGAACAACAAAGTGACGAACCGCTAAAAACGCACATAGCTCTCAATTGAGCCAAAAATTTAATATTTTCCCATACCTATAATTTGGTTTTTGAGCAGACATTCAAAGTTTCACACTTTATTAGCGAATTCTTCATACAGAGACACTCGTAGTTGTAGAATTAAAATAATTTCATTGCACTATTTTTTATAAAATTCTAATTTAATTCTAATTAATTGCTTGTTTTATCTCTATATTAACAAATCTAGAGGTAGAGGAAAGGTGCGAGAGAATATGACGGCATTAATGGTTCCAATGGAAAAAAATTTCAATAATTGAGCACATTTTCGCCATTCAAGGCGAATGGAATTACTTATTCGGAAATGATAACGATTCGGCAGACATACTTCGATTAAAAGATATATTAATTAAAACCCTTCTATGCCCATATAAATCAGGATCGATAATTTTTAAAGCAAAAAGCTCATAGTTGGATGGAATTTGTGGCGATCGTAGGCCGAGAAGCCTTAAGGGAGAAAGGTGCTTGGATTTTTAAGGGTTACCTCGAAATCCGGGAACACAGTCCTATGGAAAAAAGCTTTAATGGCAAAGTTGCAGATAATAGAAAGAGTTACTACTTTGGTTAACCTTTTTTCATATAACCTCTAAACTTATGTGAAAAAAATAAAAAAGTTTTTGGTTTTTGCGAAATTCGCGGAAATCTAACCGTAATCGTAATTTTTTTGAATGTGATCTGGTCTACGAGAAGGGAGGTAACAACTCTTTTCGTCAGTTTCTCATTATCTCATTAATTGTTCTCCTTTCCAGAGGCTTCAAGGACGTCCAGTAAGTGTTGTTCTTGGTCGGAATATTATTATAGTTCAACGTGTAAGTTGCTAGTGTGGAACATTTAAAAAAGTAACACWRAARAAGTGACGTTTACTCTAATACCGCGCAGCTGCTGTTGTCTTGTTTTCATTCGTCTCTCCTTCCGGATGTTCTGTTATCACATTTGTGTAAGTGTTTCTGTTGATTATCGTCTTCGCATTTCGCATGAAATGAAACATAAGTGTTGATAAGGAATTCAGCGCCGTATACGGACAATATTTCCATGAAAAGGATGATGAGGAAAACAATGAAGAGGGCGATTATGATGAAGACGAAGTATGTGTATCTCAGGCTGAAGATGATACCGAAAAAACTTTTGTTAAGATTGACCTGTCTGTTGTTGAAGTAAAGGAGGAGGAGCTGGTAACAAAATTTCCAAAAAAAAAAAATTATATTTTTTCGTATTTTTACTCTTCTTTCTCTACATTTTTAGGGAACCTTCAAACAAGTTATGACTTTTTGGATTCTATCACGTGAAAAAGTATCTCATCTTCCATCCGAATCAACTAAAAAGTGAAAATTGATTTTTTGACACCCAAGCCCCCTTTCCGTAGACCAGGTCACATATAAATGATCAGTACATATTTTACAAACGTCATTATCTCTACTGCTCATTTGTCTGAACTGCCGATATCGGACCACTATAACATATAGCTGCCATGTAAACTGAACAATCGCAAACAAGTTCTTATATGGAATACTTTCACATTTGACAAGATATATTCACAAAATTTGGTACAGATTTTATACGAAGAAATTGCTCAGATCGGTCAACTATAGCATATAGCTGTCATACAAACTGAACACATAGTTACTAACAGAAATGCACCTGCGAAGGGTACTTAGCTTCGGTGCAATCGATTTTAACGTTTTTTCTTGGTTTTCATTAAAATATTGTTTCTGATGTTAGAAAAGATATGCCCTTTTTTAGGTTTGCTCAGAGAATATCTTCGATGCAAAAAAAGACCACTACTAAACGGTTCGAAGATGCTTTTCTTACTGCCACTGGTAAATAAAATCGAAAAGCAGCTTTGGCTGCGTTCGAACAACTAAGTAATTGAGAATTTTTCACAAAGATTTTGAGGTTATGTTACAAAGGTGTTTACACAAAATTGTAGATATTTTTATTAGTTATTTTCCATAAGCTTCTTGCTTTTGCTGAAATCGAGATAAGCTGTTAGCACTTAAAAATTCGAACACACCATTTCCTTTTACATTTATTATTTTATCTATCTTTTCGATTGGTCTCCATCTGACTATGTTTTTTCCTGCGCATTTCACCATTTTCAAAGGCTTCAGCACTGCCCAAATTTTTACAAAGAGCGAAAGTTGATACTGATAAAATCTTAATTAAAAACACGAAAAAATAACTTTTCCTTAAATTTTTAAACCATAAAATCTCTTTACGCGCCTCGAATTCTCTTTACAAATATATATTTAAAGAAGAAGTAGAGGAAAGTGAATTTTATGAAGCAACACTGAAATACTGGCTATCGATAGCCGGCAATACGCCGTTCAAGTGTTGCCTAGTTTTAACAAAATTACACTTTTGTATTTTTGGGCGCGTTTTAAAAGTGTTTGGCGTTGCTAGTTTATATTTTCAAGCATGTACTCACCTTTTTCCTGCAACTGTTGCCGCTTAACGTCGCCCTTCAGCACTTCAGCCGTGTGAACCAATTCGTTGAGTTGCGGCTTTTTCATTTTCAATTCACGTAAAACTTTCTGCAAAAGCGGGGAAAAATGCGCAAAGCGATTAAAATGAAATTCCATACAGTGCATAAATCATTTAACGGTATTGGGAGCATTTGTGTGTGTGTGTGAGGTTTTGTATTATTTTCATGCAATAAGTGGCTCATAAAATAAAACTTCACTGAAACTGGGTAACCAATGACGGGCAGTCAAAAGGCGCAATATCAGCACGCTGGCAGCGCACACGTGCAACAATTTATTGTCGCTGCTGTTGTTGTACAAGGAAACAACAAAAATGTAGCGCAGCATGCTGTGTACATTGCCGACATAAGTGTCCGGATATGAGAAAGTGCTCGAGCAGTGACCGATTTCGATTTGCAGTGATGCTCGCTATCTCTGACATATACTCACACACACACACACACATATATATATATATATATACACATGCACACACATGCAAATGTGTGAATTCCTTGCATTCGCAGGCATATAGCACTCACCTCCTGCTTCTCGATGGCCAACCGCACCGCGTCGACGTCGTCCACGGCAACACTTTGTATTTTTATCATGTTTTGCTCCCACGTCAGCCAATCCGATATTTGCAATACGGATTTATCGAAACTACCAGCCAATACTCCGGTGCCACTCGCCTCGTCGTTATAATCTGGATAAAAGAGAAAATCAATTTATTATTATACTTCGCGCATTTATTTGCAAATTGGAGAGCTCAGCTCAGTCATGAAATGTAGCATAAAGTAAGGGGAAGCAATACATGTCGGTGATAATTTAAAATTTAAAGAGGTTCGGTTTTATTTATCTTTCATATTTTAAAGGTTTTTTTCTTTTCAATTCAATAGCTATCTCAGAGAGACACCTAGAATTATACTTTTATAACCAGAGCCATATAAAAAATAGAGTTCAAAGGTTACTACACGCCGAGGGTGTTTTTGATACCTCAGATTAGGTTATGTATTCAATTTCTTGAATAACATTAGCCAGGACTACAACCCAAAGAAACTTAACCAAGTACGCAACCAA